TTGCCTCCCTCCATTCTTTCACATCTCTGTTCAAATGTCACCTTATAATGAGACCTTCAACTTCCCTCACTCCTAATACTCCCTATTAACTTTATCCTGCTTTAATTTTCTCCATCAACTTATAACTTTCTAAAATACTGTATATTTAATTTTTCTCTGTTTAATGTCTGTTTCCTACAATGAGACTATAAGATACGAGGCAACGGGGGGCATTAGTTGTTAGTAACCCTCACACATAGACCAGTGGCTAGAACAAAAAGACAATCAGTAAATATTGAACAAACAAATGATGAATGTTATTGTGGAATTAACAAATCTTGACTTCACCACTTTGTATATGTGGTTTGGACAGGTAGCTTAAGCTTTCTGAGCCTCAGTTTCAAATAAGGAAAATATTCATCCTTTCTTTATAGAGTTGTTATATTAAAATCCTTGAATTGTATATGAGAGTAGCATACACAATCACTCAGTGAATGTAATATATAGTCGATATTATTTTCATGCTCATTTTTCATGGGCGTGACCAAGAGTCATTTGTATTTCAACAATGGTCTTCAGGTAGGAAGTACCTGGAATTGACCAGGCACTTTACATATGAAATCTGCTTTAGTCTTCTCTACAACTCTATGAGAAAAGTACTTTCATGGGGATTTTACTGGTGAAGAAATAGAATCTCAGAAAAGTTAGAGATTTTTCCAAGGTCACAGAACTAGTAAATAGCAGAGTCAGGTAGAACTGGACCATATTCTTCCTACCACTTTAGGCTGCCTTCTGGAAAGCAAATGTTAATGATTCCTTTGAATCATTATAATGTCATGCTAATGGTGTGATGTTGCCCATTAAAAACACTAAGGTAAAATGTGATATAAATATATTTTACTATTGTTTATCTTTTAAGATAAAATATTAAATAATTTAAAGTTCTGTCTCCCTTTTTGACATATAATTTTAAAACTAATTATATTCTAGGGATTAAATGAAATTATTGTAAATTGTGTTCTGTTAACTACAAAGAACTTCACGTATATTAGTATAATACTACAACTAAGCAATTGAAGAAAGTAGCCTTAAACTTTGTCTTGAACTAATATAGCCAAGAACTGTCTAAAACAGCTATATGAATCACAAAGTGCATATCACAAAAAAATAAAGTAAAGGAGGTATTTTTAAAAGTTATTTTTTAAGAAATTGGATTCAAGGTGCTGAGATAGTGTTCATACTCTTGGCAGAGTCCAGGCACAGAATACAACCCTTTAATAAGAGCTAAGAGGGCCCACAGGTGAATTTTCGGACATAAATACCAAGGAGCTTCAAGAAATTTGGAGAGATTCTTTTTTTTTTTAATCCTATAATAGAGCTCTATAGTGATAATGCTCTGTTGATGTTACCTGGTTAGATATTACTAGATGCTAAGACATTAGCAGAGCTGTGCTTTGGGGCAGTTTACTTGACTAGTAATCATGTCTCTTGTATAGCATATTTTATTAGTTCATCAGGGACTTTTCAATACACATCATTAATTTTTTTTTTAATGTAAGTGATATATTCCATCTTGATTCTACTTGTCATTATATACAGACTATTGCCTGAGCCAGCGTCCCTGTTGAGAAAAATGAAATTCACACTCCCAAGTCCTTGAGTGTTTTATTTATTTGTAAAGACCCTAATACGGAAAGAAGGCTGGGTAATCTGGTTCAGTCAAACAAAGTATTACAATTATTAGGGCATTGATATTGCCCTGGTTTGGTATCTGATTATCTTTTACTTAAACTGTTGGACTTGCCTCTAAACTAGTCTCTCCATTACATCATGCCTCACACCATTGATCATTTACCAAGTTGACAGAGAAATCTTTTCAAAACCCTGTTCCAATCAATCATATTGCCTTTCTGCTCTGAAACTTTTGATTTCCTATTCTCTTCTCAGTAAAATGCAAAATAACATTTTTATATAGTCATCCTTCAAGTGGCCTCAAATTTTTCTTAACTCTCACAAGATACCCCCAAGTGCTCTCTGTTCCAGCTACACAGAACTGCTGATACACCTCTATACCCATCTCAGACGCTCTTGTCTGTGCTTTTGTTCAAAGTATCTTCCCAACCTGAGTGTCTTTCCTCCTCTCTCATTTTTCCTTTGAATTCCTCTTAATTTTTAACCTTTAGTACCAGGTGAAATACTGGCTTATAATAAAATGTGCAGCATTTCTAATATCTAGTGTAAATATTAGAACTCTAGAGTTGAAAACCATGACTGAAAGCCTGTGGATTATCAGGCAGTATATAATGTTTCAGCCTGGAGTTACCAATATCTTCATCACTGCTATTACATGAAAAAAGCAGAGGCTTCCAGGATATTGATAGTTGCATCTACCTAAATGATGTCATTACTTACAAACAGGAATTAAACGATGTGGATTAGTCTAGTTTTCAGAGATTCAGTGTTTTCTATAAGCATCACTGGAAAATCACAGAATGAACATCAGTGATGCATTGCCAAAGGATGATCAGATCAACTCTACCACGGTCATTTTGAATAGTAAAGTAGACAATTTCATCCTATAAGTACTGTAAATCTTATATCAGTTGGCTTTGTTATTAGGAACTTCTTAAACAACATGTAAAGGGCAAGATTTTGGAATTGATGTCCTGGTGTGGTGAAGGCCATAGCATTGAGTGTTGAAGCCAGGTGGCCCAGATTTGAATTTCAGCTCCGGAATAGATTCGTTTTGTTCTTTGGTAGGAGATACTAAACTCTAAGTCTCAGTTTCAGCATTTATGAAATAAGAGTATTTTCTTCACTGAGCTGCTATGAAATTTAAATGAGATATTTGTAAAGCTCATTAGCACAGTGGCTGGTATACGGTAAGTACTCAGTAAGTGTTAGCCTTAGTCATAGTGTTAATGCAGAGTCTAGTGCTGAAATGAGATGGTGTTGGGTGGGGACACATCATTGCGGTCTTTGGCCTCCCCTGCTCTTCTCTTCCCTTAATGGAAGCTGATGGCAGGTTTCTCTGCCTTCTTCTCATCCTTCCTAAGCAATGACAAGGCTTCTTTTTTGGAGCGTATCACTCAGCTCATCCAGGAGGTGTTTGTTGATAGCCCACTATGATTGGCACTGTGCTGTGCCCTGGAAGTAAAAGTCTCCTCTCTGAGGACCTATGATCTAGTTAGGAAGAGAAACACATAAATAGATCACCTTACTATGATATGCTAAGAGCCAAGATAAAAGCACATTTCATTAAGATAAAAGCTCGTCCAAGGTTGTAGAATTGAATTTAAAAAAATTAAAAGGGTTTGCTGACTATGTATACTGTGTAGCATAGTCAGTTTGAACAACCTCAATCCTGGCTTGTTAACATTAGAGTCACCAGATGATCATATTGATCATAAAGATTTATGTGAGCTACAGAAGTGAAAACAATTTTGGTGCTCTGAATATCTGGTACCCAAGGAACTAGAAAACAGGGCCAAGATACCTAGGCAAGTTTTTGGCAACCCTGTGTATTAAATCCAGAAGTAAGGATCAGCAGAGGTTTTATTCAAGTTATTTTGTAGGTTTTGAAATTTAGAATCCCTAGAAGACATCGCTTCAGCTTTAGAGTACAAGGCAAGAATAAATATCATCTGGTTTAGAATAAAATAAAACAAACAAACAAACAAATGATCAATAACAGGTCCCTGTTCATTTGGTTAATATCTAAGTCACTGAATCTGTTAGTGGAAATTAAGAATAAACTGTAAACATGATGAGAAATACCTTATTGGAAGAAGCACTTCCAGCTTTGAGGTCTATTAGAAAAATCAGGGCTAGGAATGGATTTGGATTTAAATGCTGGCTCTTCCACTTCCTGGCTACGTGACTTAAACAGTCAGCAACTGCTCTAAGCCTTTGTTTTCTTCCCTGTAACATGGAAGTGATACTAGCAATACAGTAGGAATTAAAATCTGTACTACTTTAGGACTGTTGCTCAATACTATAGTTCTCTCTCTCGAAACAATATACATAGTGGAGAGGAACAGCTATCACTCACTTTTTTTTTTTTTTTGAATGTTCTAAATCAGTTTGAGCATGAAGACATTAGCTCACGAAGCAAGATTCTGAAGTTAAAAACAACAATAGATTAAGAGTATGCCAGCCTTCCACAAAGCATTTATTAAAAAAAGAATCAAGATCATATGTATTCCGTGTTCTAAATTCTACTGCCTTGATTGTTTGTAGGTTGGGGCAGGGGAGATGTTGGTCCAACTACATCAGAATTCCTCACGAGTAAGAGAAACAACATAGAAACCTGTTAAGCAACTTCTTAAATGATACCCCTATCCAGTTCTGATGGCATGTAGGAACTACTCATTGGCCTTGTTATGATTTCTGTGTAATTCTCTTGTTGTGGTGGTCTTTGGACATTTCCAAAGATGTTGCATGAAATTCAATTGACAATTGACCCATTCTGACATCCTTACATATTGAATGCCATAAATATACATGGTATTCATTTTTGTTCTTTATTGCTTTCTCTGCTCTTTTTGGTGTGAGAACCACACAGGTTTCTGCTGCGGTACTGAGTGATAAATTGCACATTAAAAAAAGAAAAGAAACTTGTAAAAATCACCATTACTAAGTGTCTGAGCTGCAGCCCCTGGGAACATATTTCAAAGTATTCACAAAGATCACAAGGGACTTGAGATTACTTCAATGATTAATCCAAGTCACAGTGACTGTTTTACTGAATTTTATTGTCAATGCTTTTGTGTGCTTACATTGCTTTTCTAAAATACTTAAGACAAGTCTTCATTAACTTAGATTGTGGCTTTAATTGACAGTCATCAACCTAGAATATTGGATTGGGATTTGAGGTCCTTGGAACCTATTCTCAGATCTTTCACTGAGTTAGAGTTACTTCAGACTTGTGGCTTGATCTTTGTACTTTTAGCCATATATATGGCTTATATTTTTTTTTTCCTGTGTTATAGAAGTATACAGAGTTAATATAATCATCTTTAGAGAAGAATGTATCTCTACAAGGCATTCAAGGATGACATCTCTGAGGCTGGGCCCTGGGTCTGCCCTCTCAGGCAGGGAAAATGCCTTGAGCTGATCTGGCTGCCTGCAGGGGATAGAGATCAGGACTTGGGGTCAGACTTCAGAGGCTCAAATCAGAGCTCTACTGCTGGGTGGCTTTGGGCAAGTTACATAATCTGTGTGAGCATCATTTCCTTGCCTGTAAATGAAGTGACAACAGTATTTCAGAGGGTTGTTATGACAAAAATGAAATCATAAGGCATGCAGACATCTAATATAGAGCCTGGATATCAAATACTGTTGGCTTTGTAAGGGTCCTTCTTTTCTTTCTAAATAAATTGAGAAAGAAGAAGAAGAAAGAATTGGCAGATCGTGGTCAAATTTTATCTTTATTATCATTTTTATCCCAGATTTAATCAGTTTAATTTTTGGAAGAAAAAAAAGATATATCGCTTAGTCTGAGCACCATGCGGGCTCACCAAAACTGAACCCCAGAATCAGACTTAATCGCCCAGTCACAGTTCTGATGGACCTAGTAAGGCTTGTGTTGTTAATGTGCAGGCTGGCTCTCAAAGAGGGAAGAGAGGAGCTGAGCGAGACTTTGGATGTGGGGTCTGGAAATCAGCATTTTAAGAAAACTTCTGTACTTCCAGTGCACATCTAGGTTTTTGACTCACCGCTGTAGGTGTGTCACCTATTTTTCGATGCCTCTGTGCCTTTGCATATGCCTAGATTGAGCAACCTTGCCTTTGTCACTTGGGGAAAATAATCCTACTAATTTTCCACTCTCAAACTTGGGTATCTCCTCCTCTGCGAAATCTTCCCCTTTTTCCTCACTTCCCACAAGCAGAGTTGCCCAGCCCCACCTAGGTGCAACTATTCTGCCATAAATTTAGCTATTTCATAAAACTTATTCTGTGTTGAAATTATTTGACAACTAGATTGTGAACATATTTTATAAAAGTCCATACATGTTCGTACATTTGTCAATGTTGAGAAAAAGATCTGAAAGTATAGCCATCAAATTATTAATGGACATTAATAATTTGGAGGAATTAATAATGGAGGAATTTGGGCAGAGGAAGATGTTTATTTTTTAATAATGTGCTCAGTTTACGTCTACGTTGCTTTAATTTTTAAATGAGTTTGTATTAATGTTTGTGACATAAAAATAATTTAAGAGATGAAAAGTATTGCGTTGTTTTTCTGTTTCTTCCTCTTTCATGCTCTGCATTTCCTCTTGAAATGACCTCTACATGTTGTCTCAGTCATCCAAATTTTGGACAATGTTCTGCCATCTCCTATCCCGTCCTTTCCCTCTACTCTTTTATTCTTCTTTCCTAAATCTCACTATCATCATAGGTATAATTAGATAATGGGGAAGGGACAATATTTACTTTCCTCAATCTCAGGCTTGTCTTGATGTCATAAGTAGGAAAAGGTATCATCTTTTCCAAATACTTCTTTATTGAGCCATTATACATCTGAACAGGTAACAAGAAGAGAGAGATTTTTTTGTTCTTCTGCTCTAACCCTATGTTTCTTTTCTTATGCAGGTAAACTACGGAATTGAAGTTTTGAAGGATGGGTAAAGACTTTCGTTATTATTTCCAGCATCCCTGGTCTCGCATGATTGTGGCTTATTTGGTCATCTTCTTTAATTTCTTAATATTTGCGGAGGACCCAGTTTCTCATAGCCAAACAGAAGCCAATGTTATTGTTGTTGGAAACTGTTTTTCATTTGTAACAAATAAATACCCTAGAGGAGTTGGCTGGAGGCTTCTGAAGGTGCTTCTGTGGCTACTCGCCATTCTCACAGGACTAATAGCTGGCAAATTTCTGTTTCATCAGCGTTTATTCGGTAAGTACCTGTGAAATGCAATGTTGATAATTATTCAATTTCTATTCTTCAGGATAGAGCTTTGTTATTTCTAAATGGCAAATTAAAATGCATTTCAGTTTGCTCTTCAGCCATAATTTGTTACCCACTGCTGTAGCTAGGTTCTTCAGCTATTCTCTGTTTAATGAAATTAGCATGAGGTAAAATTAATGCTGAATTTTATTTAAAAAAATGGCTGCAGATATAAAATGAATGTATGCATAGTCTTATCTAGAGAAGACATGAAAATAGCCCTTTCCCTGTAAATGGTACCTAAGTATAGTATCATAAATAAATCAGAATTGGCTTTAAGATGTTTATTTTGAGCCTATATTAGTAAGGAATTTCTCGGGAGTAAGCAACAGAAAAAGAGACTAAATTAGTTTAAGAGAAAAAGATAATTTACTAAAAGGGTATTGGGTTATTTCACAGAGACTAAAGATAGAATGCATTTTAATAATTGGGATAAATGGAACCAGGAGTTTGAATTTTGTGAGGGTGTTCTTCATCTTGACTTCTCTATCATATCTTTATTCACCATTCACGGTGAAGATCATTTTATATCCACATGGAAAAACTGGCTTGACGCTCTAGATCCCGTTTCAACTCTCAGGGAAGAAACTGAAGTGAACCCAGTTTGGCTTGGGTTTTCATCTCTAGCCTAATTGATTTTGGTCAGGAGGTGGGTGATATTTATCCAACAAATATTCATTGATTACTTATTACATGCAGGCACTATTCTAGATAGTGAATCAAAAAGGCAAGTCTGGAAATTTGGTTAGAAACTTATGTATATGTTCTGTTTAATCTCTACTTACTCCTCAAACTATTGCCATCTGGTTCTATTATATAAATATATAAAATGTTCAAATTTTATATTTATTATACATGTACATAGTTTAAAAAGTTTGCGAGGAAAAAGAAGAAGGAAATGGGAAGTAGCTAAAAATGAGAGAAGGACCGAAAATAGTTTTTTGATTTTTGTTTTTGGTGGTGATGGTTTCATTTGCGAAGTGAGACTGATCTGCTCGTTGTTGTGGGAAGAAGAGCTGATAAAAGTCAGGTGAAAATATAGAAGAAAGGCAGCATTTCTGAAGATTCCTTAGTTGTGTGACATAGGACACACATAGAAGTAGTGGCCTTAGAGAAGTCAAGAGGAGAGACCCCGGTTCCTCAGAAATAGTCATAAGTGAGATAAAGATTGGTTCTCTAATAGGTAAGATTGAAGTGGAAGGGTAGAAAGGTTTGTGCTTTCTTATGGTGATCTCTTTTTCATTATGAAGAGGAGGAGCTAAAGATAAAGATGGAGAGATTAGATGATACAAGGAGTTTAAGAAAGTGGTCAAGGTTTGGCACAGTAACCTGAATGAGTGTGTAAGTGAACAGACTAGGGACAAATGAAAGGGTTACTGATTATCACTGAGGAGTGTTGAGGTTAGACCCTATGAATATGAATGACACCAGTCTACATTGTTGAACAGTTTTCTCTGTGAGACTCAGTCACCTGGAGCAGAATTTGAGAGTGATTCATCTGGGTGGAGACTGCTCAGGCTTGCTGTATTGAAAACAAAGGATAGAAAATAAATGGAGGATTCTAATAAAAGAGTTATTGATTTGATTAACAAGGGTTCTGTCCGTTCATGAAAAGGAGTTGAGGAAGATGATAATCTGGGAGGAGTGGGTAAGGGCCTGGAGATTTGAAAGAAACTGAACAGGTGAAATGGAAGTAAGAAAAGCGAAAGGCCTCGTGGGTGTGGTTAGATGACATGTTATAGCAGAATTACAGCCCTTCTTTAGTAGTGATTCCAAACTAGGGTGTGGTCTTCAGAGAATGGATGCTAAAGGAAGGTGGTGAGAAAGGTCATTGACACAGAGGATATCTGGGACCTGGGTGTTAGTTGGGATTCCCACTAAACATTTGAACAAGCATGGTGCTCTGCATAGTAACCATATGGATAGAAGTGGTTCAAGATGGGGCTGGCGTGAGGGGCGAGGGTCATTTTCCAAAAATGAGTGGAGGGGGCTGGGCAGACAAAATAATACATATCCATCACAAGCGATGACTGAATATGTTGTAACTCATTCATGAAATTTGTTCAGTGTGGAAAGTTAAGGCAAACTTAAACCAAAATATCCAATTTGGGGAAAAACTTTCTTTGTATGTTAAAAACTGATTGAGACTAATATGGTCAAAGTCATGGTATTAATAATAAGGACAGATCATTTGGTTTTGTAGTTGCTACATCTTATTAAGTTATTCTATTGCAGAGTCTTATCTATTATATTAAAATCACATTTCAGTCATAGCTTACTTTTTAATTCTCCTGTTGGTATAAATAATTCAGCCCTGAAAATTAACTCCAGATTCCAAGTGGTATATTGAGTACAAATTATTTTAAAATAGTGTAAAAAGTGTCTTATTTTTTAATTTATTTTTGCTTACTGTAGTAAAGATTCTATAACATAATCAGCTTTATCATTTCCACTTGGCAACATGGCAATTTCCTTCCGCTTTTTTTTTTTTTTCTTACTAAAAGTCTACAAAATTATATGGGGTATTAGAGAAAGAATGATAGCCTTTTGCAAATATTGGTGATAAGTGGATAAGGTAATGGACTCCCGATGGAATTTTCTAATGAACTTGAAACTTGTCTTCTCCTTCTGTCTCCTTTCATCTTTCTTTATGGCCATTGTTTCTTCCTTCATTCACAAACTCTTAATTATTTGCTTCTAATAGTTCTCTCCTCCCTAACACATTCTGGATTTTGCTACTAGAATAATTTTTTCTACATGGCTAAATGGCTCCTATCACTTACAGAACAAAAATCTAACTCCTTTGATTGGTGTCTAAAGCTTATTGTGACCTACTCCTGCCTGACTTCAAAGCTGATCTTTTGACATTCCACATTGTGCAGAATTATTTGCTTGTTCTCCAACTTGTGAGAGGAGGAGCTAGACTGAAATGTAGATAAAGATATAGAAGAAAGACAGCATCTCTGAAGGTTTCTTTGATCTGTGACTTAGGACACAGAAATAATGGCCTTAGAAAGGACAGAAAGAAAGACCCTGGTTCCTCAGAAATAGCCTCTCATGTTTCCTCATGCCTCTGTGCCTTGGCAAGTGTGCTCTCCAGTAGCTATCATGCTCATCCTCTCCTTGTTAAGTCAGCTAATTTATCTTTTCACATTCAAGTTTAAGCATTATCTCCTCTGTGATACTTTCTTTAACTCTCTCCAGTCTGTTATCTTCCCTCTGGGTTCCACTTGTGTCCACTTGCACTAAAGAGAGTATATCAGGATACTCTGGAACTGACAGCCATGAAACATTTTGGAAAAGAATCCAACATTTAATGCAAGCATAAAGGTTATTCTTATTGGCTTGGAATGTAGTAAATGTTTCCACCTTTGTTCTCAAGTAACTATCACTTAAACATAATTAATTTTTTAAAGGCCATATTTAAACCTTAACAATTTGTTAATATAAACTTGTGGTCAGTGATGGTGATGGTAATGATGGTGTATGTATATTGAAAAGGGGATTGTTAGTTATAAGTCCAGAAATTTTTGTTATAGATATTGGAATGATTTACAAAATAATCAGAATCATTTTGTGAGATCAATTAAACATTTTTTTTTGTAATTCTGTTATGAAATGCCAGATACAAATATTAAACAGAATGCCACTATCCCTTTTATTGCCCCTTTCATTTCATTAATTTGTGAGTCTTCTCTGATTTATTTTCTTATGGAAGGTCTCTTAATAGACTCCAAAAGGACAACACAATATTGCCAATTTAAAGCATGCATGAGGGAGAATGATTGAGTCTGTGAGCACATGATTAATCTAGTTCATTGGTTAAAAGTTTTATTTGTTAATGATATAAATATAACAATTTTGTGTCTATTTCAGTTAGCAACATGAAACCCTCTGATGCTTTATAATTTGTAGTGAGAATTATCCCAAATAAAAATGGTGACTCTTACAAATTTGAAAGTCCATGTTATCAGAGACAAAAATTATTTTAAATTATTTCCCTTTCCCCTTTGCTGTATGATCAGAATAACATGAGCGAGTTGGTTAGCACTAAATCTTTATGATTTTAGACTTGTCACAAATCTCAAATTTCCCAAAAGTGGAAAATAATTTCGGAGCACATGTGAAATCAGAATTGATGTATTTTAGAAAAATTTCTTTAGATTTAATACTGAATCTTGTTGAAGTATTATATTAGGATTTATGAAAATTGGATTCCATTGGAATGTCAGTTTTTATGCTTCCAATGCCTCCCTTTTCCATTTGTTTGGAATATTTCATTAAAAAAAGAAACGTGCTCAAAAAAACGGCATCTTAGCCTTTGGAGGATTATACATGAGCGATATCCATGATTAGAGAAATCTAAAATTATTATGCTGATAAGACATACAAAGGGGAATTTAATTTTTGAGCTTATTCAAGAAATTATTTTTATTCCAAAAAAGAATGGAAATGATTTACACTAACATATATGCTTAATAAAACAGGAATAGAAAATGAGGCCACAGAAAAGAGAGAAAATCTAATATATTTGATTTCATGAGTTTTGTTACTTTGTTGGTTTTATTTCTTAGGAGACTGAACAAAAAGAGAAATGTGATACATTATATAGCTCTAAATATTAGAAATGATAAAAATTGCAAGCTTTTATAAGGGAAAACTTTCTTTGCACTAAATTCTGGAATTTTCTTGCTCTAAATTCTGGTAAAGAATTTCTTTTTTTTTTGCTTCGTACAGGAGACACTGAATGGTGAAGTGGGAAATGCAGAAATGGATTTTATATTCTTGTATCTTGATGCAAACTTTCACAAAAGTTTAGAGTATAACTTTTGAGCATGAAAGCAGTTCTGTGACGTTCATAGTGCCCGAAAGTAATTCTATGAAGGGCAAAATGATCAAAGTCTAAGTAATGCCTTCTGATTGAGTAATTTTATTCAAGGATAAATCTTCGAACATCAAGATTGGGACAAATGTATTTCTCCAACAAACTCTCTTTGCTATTTATCTTCTCTCTTTTTTTTTCTTTCTTTCGTTCTTTCTTTCTTTCTTTTTTTTCCCCTAAAGCGTAGAGAGCCTCTATTGGTTGCAGTTTTCTTTTTGACATGGTTTGAGGGTAGGCCAGTCAGAATGAATTGACAGGTATAACATATGAAAATGATTCTGAACCTCTCTTTATCTTAACACATTGTTTTTTTCAAAACATATATATTTGTGTATATATTTATATAAAATTTTCATTAATATATGGTTTCCTAGCCATACCATAAGCCTTATGAGGGCAGAGATTATATTGTATTGCTTATCATTTAATCTCCGGTACTTAAATAATGCCAGAAACATAGTAGTATTTGATACATTTGAATGAAGAAATAATGTTTCTTTGTCTTTTACACGTTTTATTTGCCAGTGTTAATATTGCCTTTTTATAGTAAGCTTTAGAAGGGTATTTATTTGTTCATTCATAGAATGTGAGACGTGGTCTCAGCTCTTAAGGAATTTAAAATCTGGTTAAAGAGACAAGATACATATGCATGAAAAATTAATTACTCTGATAATACAAAGAAGTACATATCAAGCATCAAATGAATAGTGCAGACTGTGAGAGCTGTGGCAGTTCAAGAAGGGAGATCGTGGTGGGCCAGGAAGGCAAAAGAAAACTTTGCTGCCAATGTGAGATCTAAGCTGAGTCTGAAGCATGAGTGGGATTCAAATAATCAGATATGATGCAAAGAATTCATTACAAATTTTTGGCCATGGCATAGATGGTGTGAGCAAAAGAGATGAGAGCAACTTAACTATTTTTGGAGTGTGGAAACACTGAGGAGATCATGCTCATTTTGACTGGAGTGAAAGGTTTGTGTTAGGGAAGAGCAGAAGGTGTGGTAGAAAGGTAGGCTGAGTCTAAATTCTTTGGTCTTTTAATGCCAGTCTCATACTTTGGATTTTATCTTTTCCATTATGATAATTGAATCAAGGAAAGTATTTGAACAAGATGGAAGATGATGACAAGATTAATCTGGAATCAGGATCTAGAGGAAATTGGAGAGAGATTAGTGGAGTAGAAAGGAAGTAGGACAGTAGTTTTGGAGCCTCTTTCAGTCATTCAAGCTTGATATTGTTTGGGCCAGTCTGGAATACAGATGGGACAGTGGGCAGCAGGATGGCAAGATGTGGAACCTTGTGAAGCATCAACAACTAACGGGATATGAGGAGATGAGGAGATGGGTGAAATTATGGGTAAATAGGAAAATTGGGCTGGGTGACTAAGGGAATGATTATCTCATTTAAAAAAGGAGAGAATCATTAGGAGAATCTAGTTAGGATAATGAGTTCAGTAAATGATGGGTTCAGGTAATGAGAATGTAGGTGATGGCCCATTTACCTTGAATAGTGCTCAGAACAGTACGGTGTGGGTTTACGAAACTTAATTCAGGCCCACCATGTTTTATCCAAACCTTGAGACAATATGTATTTCAGAATTTAGTGCATGTGCCTATATTTAGTAGCTCACCCTATGGGACTGAGGAAATACTCCATCATCAAACACGTGAATGTATCTGTAGCTGAATATATATGTATTCACACGATGTGGTATCAATCAAAACTAGAAACAGCCTCAAATTAGGTTTTGCTGCTAAATGAATTCAGGTTTGGTCTGGTCTTTCCAAAAAATCAGTTACAAGGATCAGAGTCATTTGGATTTCAGAATTACAGAAACTAGATACTGGACCTACGCTTAACTATAAGCAACATTTAATATATGTGTTTGGTTCCCCCCAAATATCCAGCTGCATAGAAATCATGATTCTTTTTTAGAAGCTTGTCTTAAAAAAAAAAAAATAGCTTGACTGATAACTAGGTGTCTATAAAAGAATACATGTTGAAAGTATATTTTCTTATGTTTATATTATGCAAAATATTAAGAGTTTGCTATTTTTTGTGTACCTATGTTTTAGTTTTAAACAGGAAGTTCTGAATAAAGCATTCTCAATACATCCAGAAATTTGAGAAAACAAATTCTAGGAATCTTTTTCTTTTGATTTATTTTAACAAAAGGCTATTTCCCATAAAAGGCCAAGTAACTCGGCAGTGTTTTGTCATTTAATGAATTTAATACAGCTAAATGCTTTTTATTTCCTATTGTCTTAGCTTACATCTAGTTTGAATATTTTTCTTTGTGTTTGAGCTATACATATGACTTTATCATTTTAAGATAGAAAAGATTTAGACATTCTGGAAATTGAGGGCAAGATAGTCATGGTGATATAAGACATTAAAGCATAAAAAAACAGATTTAATCATATATTTAGAAAGGAAAACTATTATTTTAATGCAATGATGTGAGTATGATTTTACCTCTTTTGTGTTAATTTGAGATCTGAATAGCTGAATAGTATAAATGACTCTCAAAATTATTCTGATAGTTGATAGTAAATTTAAAAAATGTATATTAACACTACTCAGGGCGATTGCCAACAATTGATTATTGTGAAAATTGTACTATCAAGGCGATAAGGACTTTTATTTTGGAAAAATTACTTGGAACAAATGCTGTACATAGAGCCAATTCCTACTTAGATAGAATATCTATAGTTTTAAGCTTTGTCCTCACAAAATACAATATTTGATACTCATGATAGATATTATTTAAATGTTTACCACCATCTTCATTCTTAACCAAGGTATACTGACTGCCGGAATCTTCATTTTTCTCAATACTTGAATTGTCAACATGTAATTCCTTTCCGTAGAGTAAAATAATTTGTGTCAGAAGTGACCACAGAATTCAAGTCAGAGAAAAATGTTATTCTCATGCTTGGAGTGGCCTTTAACATAAAGAAAAAAATCAAGGTTTTTGATCATGAAAGGTTAGACGAAAGCTAGGTAAGCTAGGAAATTATTGACATTTAGATTAAAATAGTCACCAAGGAACACCTGTCTTCATAGATAAATTTGATGTCTAAGTTATTGAACTTGGTCGCCCTTTACAAAAAACTTGTCCAATTACTTTAATGGTCTCTCTCATAGAACAGGAAAGGAAGGCGAGGGTGGAAATCCCAAGTACACAGCTGTTTCCTCCCACACCTGCTGATTAGATGCCTTCATTAGTTTGCAGTACAGTAAGTTGTGCATCCATTAGCACTACAGGGCAGTCAGCTGCAGCTTTCAATGTGATAGGATCATCTGGTTGCTCTAGCTCCTGCAGGACAGAGGATACAGACACTATGAGAGAATGCCTCAAGGACTTATTAATAAAACTGACTCAGGTTAGAGCATTGTAATTAAATAATTATTAACCACATGCCTTTATAGCTACTTTTCACTGTACTTGATAGAGATGAGTCATTCAGGGACCAAGGCACACTTTCCTTACCAGGTCCGATTATTACCTCCACTCCTCATTTCCCACCTTTGGGAAGTAATGGTAGGAATTTCTTCTGAAAGCCATATCAAATGGAATTGCAGCAGGCAGACCCAGCATCTGGTGCTGAGAGAAACCACTTTACTGATGAGTGGAATGTAACTGGTCAGGGTGGAATTCGACAACTGGTTAAACAATACGGAGTAAAATTGGAAGTGAAGAGTGCTTGATCACTTGATTCTTTAAAACCACATTGATAGATATTCTGTTTGTTTTTCAAATAATGAGGTAAATAGTCCTTGGTGGAAGAAGAGTGTGATTTGAGAAGACACTGACAAATAAAAGTTTTCCCTGGTTTGTTTTCTATCATTAATTCCTACAACTAGAATCATTTCTTAAAAACGTATTCACTAGATTATTGTGCTACTTGGAGGTGTGATGAACGAGCAAGGATGTTAACAGTTGGCATCATTGTGAGGTTTAGGTCCAAAGGGTAAGTGTTGGTAGGTGGGAGGATGTAGGAGACTCTTCTGATTTAGTAGCTGTGTTTCTGTGCCAGATTTTGGGTAGAAGGGGGAAGAATATTAGAAGACCCAGGGGTCCACAGGACATCAGGCTGGAATAAGGGGTACATAGCCTTTCCAAAAACAAACCTTAGTTGCTTTCCAGTGGTGGCTATGAAAGTGTCTATTTGATTTTGGTATTGATGATAGTCAAAACAGTTCTGTTGTTTTTGATTTGCATTTTTATCATGCCAGCGACCCATACTTATTGTCAATGGATAAACAGAAACGTACAGGAGTGACTTGCCTGGCTCCAAGGTCACAACAATAGCCAGCAGTAAAATTAGAACATAAACTGAATCCTCCTGATTTCCAGACAGGTGCCTTTTCAGGCGTCCCAGATGGTGCGCTGGCAGCCAACAAACCTGTCTGCCTTGTTTGCCCTCAGGGCTGGGTTGTGCTGGGCCACTCCCTGCAGCTTTGCTCCACTTTGTGCTCAGGGATAGTTTCTGGCAACACCTCCTGCCTGACCAGCCCTCTCTTTTGGGTAAGAAAAGTTATTTAGTTGACCCCACTAGAGACTGTATGGCTCCAGAACAAAGCTTGTCTTCGTGGCTGACCCAGAAGCTCCCCACACAGTGCTTCCTGCCCCGGCAGCCATCAGTAACCTTAAATTCTGTGCTGGGTTTTACTTTTTCTCTTGATTCAAGAGGAATGTGATTACATATCAAGATTTCCCTAGGCTGGTCCATGCTTGTTATACTACTTGTGTGTCCTTGAGGACATGCCCACAGACATGGATAGACCAGCTAAGAGAAGACAAGCAACTGCACACATAATCTCAAGAGGGCAAGTTTGAACTTACCTTCCAGCTACCTAGGGAAGTTAATGTTTATACTGTAAATTTTTAAACTTCATATTTTCTTGCCTCAACATTCCTGCAGACAGGCTGTGAGCACCCTGCCCTGCCCAGTTGACCAGTTTTACCAGAATGATAATGCTTCCCTTTCTTGCCCTCTTCCCACTGTGACCTAGTGACATTCAAACACACCAATGAAATCTCTTTGTACTTTTTGATTATATATGCCTGATCTCCCCAAAAAGCACTTGCCCATGGGTCCTTACTCTCTGGGCTCCCCACCTGCTTGGCTAAGCCTGCTCTTTTGGTCCTTAACGCCCCCTCCCCCCAACATGGCCCTTTCGTGGTACGCAGTGACTCTGTCTCTCTAGGACTTGTGAGTACAATTACTGTTGTTTTCTTCCTGTGTCTTCTCTTGTGACCACATGAAACTGATCATCTCATGAAAGAATATAAAGCAATGTTTTCTGTTCTTCCCAATTTATTCCTATTTGAACTATACCATTTTTCAGCATCATCACTGACAAACATATCAAGTACCTATCATTTGCAAAGAACAGCGTTAGGTACCATGAGACTCTCTTTCAGGAGGTTGCAGTGAGCTAAGGAGATTAGACACTGACATATGAAAATACAGCTCTAAAATAACTGAATTGCCAGCATATGATAATTGCCATGTAAAAGAGATGGACAGTCTCTTCTGAAGGGACAAGAAGTCATTCCCAACAGAAATGGTCAAATAAGCCTTCTCAGTACAAGTAGGAGTTCATAGGAACCCTAGCATCTCAGGAAGCATGGATTTGGTGAGAGCTTCCTTGTTACACTTTCGGCCTGTCTCTGAGTATCTCTAATAATAGCAAACTCACCATCTCCTAGGAAGTCTGTGTCCATTCACAGTTTCTATAGTTTCTTGGGTCTGATTCTGAGCTTTGCCTTGCACTTCCAGTAGAATTCTGTTGGAAAGAGAAGGAGGGCATTTCAAGCTGGACAAATGGCAAGCACAATGTTTTGGGGAAGGAAAGGACAAATGGTTTTGGGATAGAGTATAAATAGAGCAATTTTCCTGCATCTGCAGATTTGGGTTTAGTGGAGGCAGGAAAGGAAAGCTGCAAGGCAAATTGTGGAGGGTCTTGAATTTTAGGTTCAGGAGCTTAAAATTTATTCTGAAAACAATAGGAAGCCATGGAGTAAGTCCCTCCCTTTAAAATTTTCAAGTACAAAAGTAGTACAAGCTTGTTGTTAAAAAAAAAAAAAAAACAAAAACCCAAATATGGGAAATTAAAGAAGAAAATTAAAAGTTTTTGATTAGAAGGATGACAAAATCAAATAGGAATGTGAATGCAGGATGCCTGGCCTTGAGGCAAGGAGGTGTGTTGCAGTTGACCTCCAGTGATGAAGGCTCTGTTTAGAAGTGACAATGAGGATGGACTGGAGGGAAGCAAGGGTGTGAAGGAAGACCTGATAGCTTAAGCACACTGTTCTTTTATTAAAAACAATGTCTTTACTTCAAGAACTTCTGTTCCCTGAGTCCATTCTTATCATTTACTGAACATAAGGCATAGCAATCTGTTTCTAAAATTGGAAACTTATTAACATTAGATCATCTTTTCTAAGTTTGCTAAAAGAAATGAATGTTTTATTCTGGTTATTTGTAACACAAGAAGAGAATTTTAGAAAAAGCAGATTTATGTTCATATATAAATATATTAAGCTGTGAAGATATTGATGCCACTGAATTTCTTTTTTGAAGCTTAGTGTTTGCCTGAATTTGTTCACTTTTTTTGGATCATGCCCATTGATTTTTCTCAGTTCACTTACAAAGTATAGGAGCCTTAAAAATATAGCATTAAAAATATATTTTGTTTACTCATCAAATACATATTGAGCATTTTCTAGGCTCTGGTAATCCAGCATTGAATAAAACAGTCTCTGTGCTGATCGAACATACATTCTAATGGGAAAAGACAGAACATAAATAAAGAAGTCATATTTTATGTCAGAGGCCTGTAAATGCTGTGGGGCAAGGAAAGCAGAGGACTGTAGGGTAAAGTCTGGGAAGTTGCCAGACTTCCTTATCTGATGAGGGGTCATTTGAGCAAAGACCTCAAGTAGATGAAGGAACAACCCAAGTAGCCTTCTGGGGGGAAACTACCCAAGTCGTGAGCAGGGTGAGTATAGAAGCCCCAAGGCAGTCGTGCACGTTGAGTGTTTGATGGACAGCCAAGAGGCCAATGGCTAGAGCCAAGTGAGCAGAAGAGAGTAGAAGTGGGGTATATTGAGATGGGATAGCAAGATCACAGACATTTCAATGTAAAAATATCCCTTTCCCTTAAAGTAAAAAGAACATACGAATAAGTACATCTACATAACCTTAAGAATTTAGTTTCTAATATAGACACACTGTATTTAAAATTGACATTTTAGTAAAACCCTTGAGCCTTGCCTCTTAGTTTACTCTGAAATAATGCACAATCAATGATTTTTATTCTGGCAGTTTTTTTATTCTTCTGAATTCCTGGTTATAGCTCCTTTATGGGGGTTCCCACCCCATCTCCCTCCCTCCAGTGAGACATAGAAGTGAAGAAAGCTGCTTTTTTTTTTTTTTTTAATGGTGATTTATTTAATACTTTAAAAGAATGTCTCTACTCCGCGGCTGTCCCCCATCCCTGCCAGCAGTGCTAACTCTGTAATGGTATTTTTAGCAGTGGAGGTGGGGAACATGGTCCCATAGGCAGCAGTTGTGAGGGAGTCATAATTGTTTGCTTTTAAAGTTCCAAGTCTCAGATCCATCCCCCTCCTGTAGAGTAAGAAAAGCATCTTTTTTTTTTTGTAGGGATGAAAAGATGTTCTGTCCACATGGGGAGGTTGTAGAGATGGGGAGTTGCCAGAATTCCCCAGTTTTTTTTTTCCCCATTATGACCCCTGGCACAAGTCTGTTAGTTTAGCTACCTGAAAAATGATTGTATCAATTTATTTCTAGGTCGCTCTCCTAGATTATTAGACTCTGTCCCCTCACTGAATTCTGTAAACACAAGCACTTAACAATCCACCTTTAAACTAGGACAGAGAATTTACTTAATAGCTGAATTCTAAATGGCAGATCAAATTGAATATGAAAGAAGAATATTTTTACTCCTTTCCAGAAAACTATCAGCAGTGGGTGGAGGAAGATCTTCAGGGAGGAAGTCTAGATATTTTAGACTTAGAAATACAAGAAAGGTTATGCATTCATTCGTTCAAGAGATATTTCTAGAGTGCTTGTTATATGGGAAACCCAGTATTAAGAACTGGAGATACAACGGCAAATAATAATAAAAGCAACAACAAAACATTCCGGCTTATTTTTCTCATATGTCGTATGTACACTCAGGTGGGGGAAATATAAACAATTGTAGTCATTCATATAGTTCATCAAATATTTCTGTCTCACCCATCTCTGGAACATGATGAGATTATACTTCCTGGTCTTATGATTACTTCTGGCTGGTAGATGTGAGCAGGGGTAATGTGTGGCACTTCTAAGCTAGAGCATTTGATCGCACACATAAGACCCTCTAGCTTTCCCCCCTCATTTCCTCAGCAACCATCAGTGTTCCAGATAGTTGCCGCTCTGTGTGCCCGAGTTCCAGAGTGAAGACAATGTGGAGTAGAGCCTTTAGCTGACTCTTAATGGATCGGTGTAGTAGGACAAAGGAATAAACCCTAATTGTTTAAAGCCATTGAAATTTTGGAGTTGTTATTATGCCATAACCTAGCCTATCTTGACTGATATAGAAACTTAAAAATAAACACAATTTTTAAAAAGGGATAATATCATTTCAGATAATGATGTATTCTGTAAAGAAAACAAGACAGGGAGCTGTGACACTAAATGCCCGAGGTGCAGTGTGGAGGCTCCTCTAAACAGGGTGGTCAGATTAACTCCCTGTGAAGAGGTTGGATTGGAACTAAGACCAGCATGATAAGAAGGAGCTAGCCAAGTGGAGATGTGGAAGGAACACACTGCAAATCAAAGGAATAGCAAATGAAAAAAATCCATGGGGGTAAAAACATTTGGTACAGCTTGAAAAACATCAAGGATGTTCCTGAAAGCTAACGAGGGAGGAGGAAGAAAAAGAGACAGGAGATAATGATGTAGGACTTGTAGATCATGGTAAAGACATCTTATTTCATTTTAAGACTAAGCAATCTTAGGATTTTGAGCAGAGGAATGACATGACCTGATTTAGGTTTTCATAGTGATTTTCAGGTTGCTCGGGGAAAAATGGCTATATGCGGGAAAGAATGAAAGCCGGAAGACTAAGTTCTAACTGGTAGTTAGTAAGTTTCTGTGTTAGTCCTCGTGAAAGAGTATGGTGATATGATTCAGGATGGTAGCAGTGGAGATGGAGCAAAGTTAGAAATGGAGTTAGAATGCATTTTGGAAATTGATCCCACAGGACTGGATGATGGATGCGGGTGATAATTTCAAGATATAAGGATAGATCATGTGTGAGTGTGTGTGTGTGTGTGTGTCTGTGAGTGTGTGTGTGCGCTTGTGTATGTATTTGAGCAATTGAATGTATTCCGTTGCTATTTAATAAGGTTGGGAGATTGGAGGAAGAAAAGATTTGGGGATGAAAAATCAAGCTTCTATTTTGAATACATTGAATTTGAAATGCTTGTTCAGTACAATTCGGGTATGTATGGGATTCCAGTTCTGGTAATATGAAGTAGTTTGTAGCAGACTAATCTTCCTCTGGATAAAAATTATAACCTCTTATCTTACCTCCCCCTCCCCCCCCCCAAAAGATATCTATTTTAAGACATTGGAGAATGACCAAAAGAAGGCAGAAACAGGAGAGGATTCAACCTCAGTAAAAGAGAAACATACTGGAGAGATCTATGGATATGATATGTAGTTTTAACCTTGACAGTATTTCTCAGTGCATTAAGCATGGGGCCATCTAGTACTGCAGTAGAAAGCCACAGTTCTCTTGATTTGTGAACTAGAGTGTGCAGTTCAGGAATGGCATAGCAGTTGGAAAGTAATGAAGGAAATCCTGGAAAGGGCCTACCCTTGATAGACACAGTTTAACAAAACTGACTCCAAGAGAAATAATCTGAATAGCTGTATATCTAGATAATAAATTGAATTCAATATCAGAAATCTCTCCACAGAGAAATTTCCTGGCTTAAATTGTTCCATTTCTAGTGGTCTTGAGGACTTGGTGTTATCTCCTAAGCAAAAGAGAGAATCAGGATTCATTTATATGTAATTTATTTAATTTTGTATACTACTTCTTATGTGCCTGTCACTATTCTAAGCACTTTACAAATAACTTGTCAAATGGCATGACCATGTATATGGTGGTAGGGACATGAAAAGATGAAGCATAATTTCAGGAATGTTCATTTCCTGCAATATATGCCATATACTCAACAGAAATGAACTTTTCTGGCTGTTTTCTGCCCACTAGTGACAAATTTGTGGGCACGATAGAACATACTTTCAAATGTGCAGTTTGATGGTATGATCAATTAATCAACGTCTTTCTCTCGTTTTACCTCTGAATGCAGCATAGAGAACATTGTTAAAGCCTAGAATATGAGGCCCAGTTGGACGGTTTTTTGTTCTCTGCCCTTGCCTCATCCTTTTCTGCCTTTCTAACTCATGCTCTCTGTTCCTTTGCATCTCTATTTATCAGATCTGTTCTTCAAAATTTGTTCCAAATGTTACCCTATAACTTGATATAAACCTCATCATCTTGCCTATTGCAGGAGTTTAAGAACATTTCTAGTTTGGCTGTCTACACAACAGTGACTAGTGTTTAGTCCAACTGTTTAATACAGTGACTAGTGTTTAGCAATTTTGCAACACTTAAGAATGAATTGACCTGTTATTGATTTGATTTGATAATTGATGTATGCCAACAAGAAGTTAATATTTCATAGGAGATTAATTGGAGACATT